AAATTTGGAAGAGAGGATCTGCACAGTCCCGGCCGCTGCTCGAGAACCTCCACGCCTCTGTCCCATGAGCACTGTGAAGATGGTGTGAGAGCGACTGGAGTGGGGGTTCATCTGGGTGGCCCCAGTGTGACGGGCCGTCTTTCCTGACTCTAAGAGACTCAGCACTTCATCAAGTCCCTCCACTTCACATTCCTTCACACCGCAAAGCACTGTGGGTAAACACAAAAGATGTCTTTTCTTCACATACTACAGAAAGACTTTCTGAAAACTTCCTGATTAGTCAGCTTGTCTAGACAGGCAGTTTTGAAGAATAAAAAACTGAAATTAAAGAGAAAATAAAAGAGGAGAAGCATCAAAACTTAAAATGACTAAATAAACAGATGCTGTCAGGATTTTGTCAATTTATGAGCAGCTGACATGATTTTAACTTACCTGATGACATGACATGACTTACCTGCAGTGTGACATGCTGTAATTAGTCTAAAACCAATTTTAAACTATTCTTAATAAAAATGTCACAGGATTATACTGTTTAGAAAAAATTGCAATATAATATTTACAAATAATACATTTTAAACAAATATTCTTTAATTATTGCACATGGAGGTTTTTTTAAAGTCATTAATTGGCAACCCACAGAACAGATTTTGACAATTTTTTTAAAGAAATTAATACTTTTATGCAGCAAAGATGCATTACATTGATTAAAAGTGAAAGTAAATATAATGTTACAAAGTATTTATATTTTAAATAAATGCTGATTTTATATTCATCAAAGAATTCTGAAAAAAAAAAAAATCATAGTTTCCACAAAAATATGAAGCAACACAGTTGTTTTTAACACTGATAATTAGGGCTGCCCCCTAATAGTCGACTAACCGTTAGTTGACCAGAAGAGGCTTGGTAGACTTACCAAAATTTAGTCGCAGAAAAAAAAAATTCCACATGAAGTGGCGAAATCACGCAGTCCGTGATGGACAAATCGTTAACGGCTGGTCTCTGTGGTAATATAGCACATCGGGCAGGACATCCATATGCCCTCCTAACATTCATCGACCTCAAATATGGCTTATCATCTGAAAAATGTATGTAGTAGCACAGCTGAACATACTCTAGTACAGTGGCTAAGCTAGTTTTGCTTCAGGAACCAGGTTTTACAAGTGACAAACAAACACAGTAGCTATCTTTAATGCTTAATGTAGTCAGGGACAGGGTCATATTTTCTTTGACCCTATGTAGTGCTGGGCGGTATACCGGTTCATACCGAATACCAGTGTTTATTTTTGTTATGCATAGCCGCTCTTTAGTGTAGATGAGTGACTCCTGGTTAACTTATTAAAAGGTAGTGTTTAGTCACTATTTAGTGTGGTATTTTTTGACAATATTCACTCATCATGACAGTAAAATAGGGCATTCTAAGTCAATATACTGCAGTATTTCCTCTCTCAATCAGTAGAAAATATGGTTAACACCCGGTCATGAATGAAAAAAAAATACCGTCATGTACCGTGAAACCGGTATAATTTTGAAAAATACCGTGATATACATTTTTGGTCATACCGCCCAGCACTAACCCTATGTTGTTTTGTTGATGGTTTTTGAGGATGACGGCATCTTAAACAACCTGTCACAGTGTTGGTATCTGACTAATTTGCTATGAGGTCATTATGTTTTTTTTTTAAGGAAAATAATACTCTCATTCAGCAAGAACGCAGTGACAGTAAAGATTTTGACATGTACATTACCTTATCAGAACAACTTGTGACCCATTTTTGGGGTTTAAAACCAGCACTGCTCCACTTCTCTAGAAACTGTATTCAACTATTTTAAATTGCATTTTCATGAGATTTAACTCCAGACAGTACAGAATCTCCCCTTGGTTTAATACAATCCCATTGACTTCCATTCAGAATCAACACCAATTCTGTCTCTCTGTCAATCACTGAACACAACTCAAATTAATGCATTGACGCACAGAAACTGCTTTATCAAAGCAACTTACAAGAAAGTGCAAATATTTAATACTGACTCCATAAAATTCCTGTATCAACACAAAGACAGGGCTAGAGCAAGATGCAAGGAATCCTATAAGCCAACATGTGCCAGTAAACTGTTTAGTTGAGTGGGTTAGTTTACTGTTCATACTAAAACACACACAGACAAGTGTTCTGAAGCCTTACTGGAAATCTGTCAATGCTCTGCATTTGAGTCTGGGACAGGTCATGGCAGGTCCTCTCTGTACTCATCTTCCCTCTCTCTCTTGCTTTATGGGCCCCACCTGCCTAATGTAATGGAGCTTGTATGGGGGTTGCTGTTCTCTCTGTGCTTAGTGTTTCATTTTTCTGTCAACTCCCCAACCCCCCACCATCACCACTGCTGCTTACCTGACAAATGAATACTGATGTGTATATATGCTAGCAGTGTTCTTTTCCATGAATGAATCAGGGTTTTTTTTTTTCATTTACCTTTTACATTTTTTTTTTCATTTAATTTAATTTATTTATTATTATAATTTTTTTTTAAGCTTACAACTGCTTTCCTGCCTATTGGTTAGACAAACTATAGTGCAAACAAATAGCATCTGAGTATGGGCTATGAACACCCTGCTTTACTGTCGAGTCATTAGTTGTGCCCCAAATGACATAATATACATGTCTAGTTAAGTGTTTGAAGTTTTTTTTTTCCATTTACCTTTTACATTTTTTTTTTCATTTAATTTAATTTATTTATTATTATAATTTTTTTTAAGCTTACAACTGCTTTCCTGCCTATTGGTTAGACAAACTATAGTGCAAACAAATAGCATCTGAGTATGGGCTATGAACACCCTGCTTTACTGTCGAGTCATTAGTTGTGCCCCAAATGACATAATATACATGTCTAGTTAAGTGTTTGAAGTATACTTTTTCTTGTTGGAATTTTCATTGTGAACGCGCTAGCTGCGCTGAATAGTGCATAAGTATTGAAAATTTAAACACATCTACATTTTAAACATTGAACAAGACATTTCATTTCCGCAGGGCCGCTGCTGGCCAAGTGGGTGCCCTAAGCAGAATAGTATTGTTGTGCCCCCTCCTTCAAAAAAAAAAAAAAAAAACACCTACTATAAGGGGTCAAAATAGAACTTTAATAAACTATAAAAAGTAAATAAATAAATTGTAATTAAATTGTATTACTTATACATTACAATTGTAGCTCTAGACAGTTACCTATGGCTATGAATTTATTAATACCGTTGTCTGATTGATTTTAGTCTCAAGCATTCAGAAATCACACAAAATAAAATTAAGCCGTTTTACTACGATAAAACCATGGTTAATTTTGGTAAGGGTTGTGATGTCCACATGTTTTTGTTGAATAAATTAAAGAGGGTGTAGCATTTCTATCACAAAAAGGTGGCCAAAAATTTTAAATTAAGTGGATATTTGAATTAAATGTTTGGTCAATATTAAACAAGGATTTGATCGTCCTGTAAGTGTAACAACAGCAATTATCAGGCCTTTGGTGCCCTTTGCAGGCATTTGTAATAATGCAAATTGTTTATCTTGCATTACATTATGTATTTTAACAGTATTATTCAATGAAACCATATGATTATTATTCATTAACCAATCATTATTGCCTCATTGTTTTTATATAATACATTTTAAGACATTAAAACTAGAATATTAAGTCAGATGCGTTGTTGGTGGTGGTAAAATTATTACCGATATTAAAACACGTTATTAACGTCAACAGTCAAAAAAGTTTCACAGGATTATGAACGTAGCTACATGAAAGTGATGCACGGGCTTCATCTTGGGCTTTTTTATTTTTCTTTTCTCTGCGCCAGACTGCGCTGATGTCTTTTCCCTGATATAGCCTAGTTGTCCATTAATTATGATGATCATTTGTATTCAGCCGCAAACATGAGGTGAGAGCGAGCGCGGGCGCATATGTCACGTGTGCTTATACTGCCTATACTGTCTGCGTTCATCATAAAATGCTTTTTTTAATAATTATTATATATGTTAATGTTTCGATTTTTATTTATGTATATGTATATGTTAATATTCATATAGAATGAAAGTGTTTTTTTTGTTTGTTTGTTTTTTTTAGCAACTGGGATGGTGCCCCACACAAACTGCGTACAGGGAGCAGCGGTACTGCATTTCCGTTTACAATTAAATAATCTGGAACATTATATTTCTGAACAAATTAAATAAACTGGGACATAGGCCTACCGTTCATAAAGTTAAAAACAACTGGGAAATGTTTGTTTCACGATCAACCAAATTTACTAGGAATTTTTTCGTTTGTGAACAAATCTAATTAATTGGGACATTGTGTTTGTCTTTTTTTATTTTTAAATCTGATGACTTCTCAGCCCCCTGTGGCATGATAGAATAGTGAAGTAATTGCCATGTTTAAGCAGTAAAGCATTTTTGTTTAATAAATATTGTGTATTCACCATTCTACTACATTTTGCATACTATGTTGGCCTAGTAGAGAAGCGGAGACTCACTTCTCGCCACCTACTGGCGGAACGATGTATCCTGCACAAAGAGTCGCTGAACAAATCAGAACAAACCTTTGGTGAAAGGATTCAAACGATTCGAATCACTGAGATTAAACAAATGTGCTTGCGTATTCTTGATTGGGACATGAACATACATTATTATGCACAGACTGCCAAAACACATGAGGAAAGCATCAGTCTTCCTGACCTCTACTCGACATCCCACTGTTCTCTTAAAGCACTCAAGTCAAAAATAAGCACCTGATTTGTAGGCCAAGGCAAAAACAGGACTTTCCATTTCTAATAAAAGCCTAAATATGAGCCATGTAAGGTTAAGCGTATGTTTAAAGACATCAAACGCGTTAAATTGTGTCTGTCACCGTGTGTGAACGGCACCTCACATCTCTAATAGCAGCTGTCAACATTAATAGCCAAGGCTTGAAGTTCATTTTCTATTCGCGTCCGCGCCGACAGTAGTGCAGGTCGGGACACACACTGCGTCAAAAAAGTTACACGTTACGATACAGAAAACCAAATCTAACACGGGATATCTGAAAGGCGAACATGAGCTTCATAACCGAAGCCCTTAACACAGTCCCACACCGGACTGAGTCTTGCTTGCTTGCTTATTCGGCAAAAACGTGCGGGGGGACAAACGTTTTCAAGGTTAAGCCCAAAGAAAACTGCTTTCTGTAAGAATTAAACTATTTAGACTCTGGCTTGTAACCGAGCCAAATTCCCTCAAAGTCTGCTGTATTGTTCTCAGAGAAAGCGACTTTTCCTGTTTGAAAACATATTCTTGGGTACGTCTGGTGTACGTGGCGAGGAATTGAAATCGGTTTGACATTTCGATGCTGGCGCGCAACAAATAAAGTGCAAATCGAGTTTAAATGCTGTAAACGTCAACTTTATTTCGCTACATAGTGTGATGCTGCTGACGTAGAACGTCTCAAACATAATACAGAGACAATCTCTGGTTCAGCCCCCTAAAAATGAGAACATACTCGGTTATGTTTTAGTTACCGCTCGGCTAATAAACATCCGCCGTTTGGAAAGTCCCGGTTAAGTTTTCTCCCGCATCTCTACGACGCTATCATTCTAGCATCTGCCACAAAATAGCTCGACTAAAATCGCCGCAGTCCGGCTTATCGAGCTTCTCCGCTGCAGCGAACAGGAGGGGGAGGAGGGTGACAAAGTTGCCGCAGTTTGGAGTTGTGTCTACGGGGCAAGATTCCACCATTCACCTCCCCTTCCACTAAACTAGCCCCGCTTCGGTTTTCTCTTACCTTGAGCACCGGGAGAAGAACGGTGACAATTTTTTCGGAGGTAGCTCTCTGGAAAGGTAAACTACTCAGTCGCGTTTGACTTTTTGAGGTTGAACAGAGCAGCTCTCAGCAGGGTCCTCGCTAGTTCCTTCTCTCACCCCCTCCCTTGCGCCGCAAGATCAAACCATCACATTCCTTCTCGAGATCCAAACAATGAAAAAGGTGGGTTTTCCTTTGCCAAGAAAGACCCACCCCTAGAACGACTACGCCGCCTCTGACCGCAGAAAGAACGCCCTGCGCGGCAAAACGGTCCCGCCTTCCCCGATGAGGGAAAGAGCGACGGGTCAGACAAGCGCTGAGCTCTAGAGGAAGATTGAAGAATAACTGGAAACCCAGTTCACAAATAGAGCAATACTGTTTTTTGTTTTTTTTTGCACAAGTTAATAAAGGTGTTTTAAAAAAAAGTAACATAACATTTTATACAAATCAAATAAAATGTATATTTGTAGTAAAAAATTATGTATAGTGGATAACACAAAAAGGGAGGCTAAATAAAAACAACATGACAACGGCGATATTCTCTGTATTGAATTAATGTGACGTCACTGCACAGGTGAGCAATAATCCATACCACTGTCAGGCAATAGCATAAGCATTAATAACAATAACATTTAAGTTTCTTGTAGCATACAAGTAGTTTATATGATTCTAAATTATTTAAACTGTTTTTTTCACTAACATTTTTTAATGATAAATAATTAAATTAAATTATAATTACATTAATTAGTGCACCATGCCAGATAAATATATTAACATAACCACCCAGGCATAATGTTACGACAACAACCACAATAATAATTATTATTAGGCTATTACATTTAACTTTACTCAAAGTCATATCTTCAATATTACCTGTTTTGTGTAAAAATTTATATGTACATGTTTTTATGTATATATATTTATGTATTATTTGTTGTGCTTGCAAAGCAAAGAAAATGTATGTGTAAGGCGACAGTACAGTAGAGGGCTAAAATAAACATATTTCCATTAACAGATAGCCTATAGAATGGCATGATATTAGTTCCCTTTCGATACTTCACTCGTACTGCGTCTTGCTTAAGACGCATATGGGAAAAAAAGCCTTTTTTCTCCTGAACTGAAGCCTTTTCATTCACGCAGT